GTGTGTGCACATGAGGAGAAGACGTAATTGTCCTGTGCGTGTGCATGTGTGTGTGCGTGTACACATGCAGAGAAGACGTAATTGTCCTGTGTGTGTGTGCGCGTGTGCGTGTGCGTGCCTCTGTGTGTGCACATGAGGAGAAGACATAATTGTCCTGTGAGTGTGCACGTGTGTGTGCGTGTACCCATGCAGAGAAGACGTAATTGTCCTGTGTGTGTGTGTGCGTGTGCGTGTACGTGCCTCTGTGTGTGCACATGCTGTTGGAAGGATCATGGTGGCTCAGCTGATGAGCACTATGACGCTGACTGGACGGTGGGCACACGCACCTGGCCGTCAGCTCAGTGGGAGAGAGTCCGGCCGTCTGCCACCTTAGAGCTGATGGCATAGAAGACCCGGCCTGGAGGCCCCGTGGACGGTTCTGCTCTGTCGCACGGGGTCACTGCCAGGTGGAAGGCACTGCACAGCTCGTGGTCACCGTGACAGGATCAGGGGGCACTGTGAGACACTGCCTGTGTGCACAGCAAGCTGGCTCATTAACCGGAACATCCCGTCACACCTCCCTCCTTGGGGTGGCCCCCGTCTCCTGGCTAGCCCTCCGCTGGCTCTCTGAGGCCGTGTAGCACAAGGGAGGGGACTGTCCATCTTCCTTCTGCGGAGCTCCTGGAGGATTTGACCCCGACAGGACTGGCCTTTGGGTTAGCTGTCACCAGAGCTCAGTACAATGTTGTTGTTGTTGTTATGTGCTGGTGAGTCGTAGGTGACTCATTGCGACCCAGTGAATGAAAGTCCTTGGCCCTTGCGTGACTTTCATCCTCTCTCTAGTTCATAGAGTTTCTGGAGGCAAGCTATTTCGGAAGTGGATGCCACTTCTGCTTTCAAGCTTGTTTTAATTGGGAGTTCCACCCAAAACCGTCCTCCAGGGCTAACCATTATTGCATTTGACACATCAGTGTCACAGTGTTCAGCTTCACAGTGACCACAAGTTACCTCTGTACAGCAAATGGACAGACCAGGGCTATACAATCTAGAGGAATGTTTGACCAGAAACAATGAAAAACAGGCCTGAGGGCCGTGGATTAAAAGTCATCCACCTTTGGCTTGGTAGCCTCGCTTTCTGTCCTCTAGGCTAACTGACCTCTCTCTCTGTTGATGTTATTGTTAAATGCCATCGTAGGTGACTCATAGCGACCTCTGAAGGAGAGTCCTCGGCACTTGTGTGACTTTCACATAGACCCGCCCTAACGCTGGCCTCTCTCACTCCCGTGTGCACACACGCACACGCCGGCCTTTGTTCTCTGAGGGGTGCCCTGCACCACAATCTCAACGGGAGGGTGATGTCGAAGCCACAGCCGTTAGGAGTTCTGTTGTTTCTGTTTTGAGCTCTTGGGCTCTTTCTCTTCCTGAGCTGCTGTGCTGAGTTGTCCTCTCCTCGTGTGTTTCAGGAACTTTCTGTTCCGGCTGCAGCTGGAGGACCTGTCACTGATCCAGGTAAGTGTGGGCCCTCTTCTCCAGCGTTGCTGTCCCTTTGTGTGCGAGAGGACAGGCTCGTGAAGGGCTTGGCCTCAGCTGGACGGCCCCGCCTGTGCTGTGGGGTGTCCTGGGTGTGATCCTCCGGCCCTGGCTTCATCCATGCTCTTCCCTGACGAGTGTTCCTGTTTCCACTTACCTAATTGGCAGCGTCAGGATGGATGACAAAGAGATTGAGAGTGTTCACAGCTTCAGTTTGCTCGGCTCCACAGTCAACACTCTTGGCACCAGCAGTCAGGAAATCAAAAAGCGTATCACGATGGAAAAGTCTGCTGTTAGGGACCTCTCAAAGGTACTCAGGAGCAACAGTGTCTCTCTGGAGACTAAGGTGCGCCTGATACAGGCCATGGTCTTTGCAATCGCTTGTTATGCATCAGAGAGTTGGACAATGGCTAGGGAGCACAGAAGGAGAGTGGATGCTTTTGAGCTGTGGTGCTGGAGAAGGGTACTGAATGTACCATGGACTGCCAGGAAAACAAACAGATTCATCTTGGAGAGGATTAAACCAAGCTACTCCTTGGAGGCAAGGATTCTGGGGCTTCGTCTGACATACTTTGGACATGTTGCCAGGAGGGACGGGTCCTTGGAGAGGGACATCATGCTTGGGAGGGTGGAGGGACAGCGCAGGAGGGGAAGACCCTCTATGAGATGGATTGATTCGGTGACTGGGGTAATCGGGATGGGTGTGTCAGAGGCGGTGCGGTTGGCGCAGGATAGAGCAGGGTTTAGGGCTGTTGTGCATAGGGTCGCTATGAGTCGGAAACGACTCGACGGCACATAACAACGACAACAACAAGTGCATTCCGAGTTTGCTCCTTGGCATGAGTAGCAGACCAGATACCGGACGTGCGGTCTGCATGGTCCCGGATGTTTGAGGGCAGAATTCCAGGATTTCTGACATCAGAAGCAGCACCTTCCTGCCCCTGGGCTTGGGGGGTTACTGGAAGGTCTCCCAGAGACCCAGGCCCGCCAGGGGGTGCGTGGTGACTGTGGATAGGCAAACTCATGAGCCTTGGAGACGACCGGCTGAGTGTCGCTGGGAAGCAGGTGTCCCACAGACCTGGCCCTGAGGTCCCAGGAGCTGACAGGAGCCTGTAGGCAGGTGGGGCTGGTATTCCGCCCAATCCTCTCTCTGCAGTCCACAAACTAAACAGTTCACCTTCCCAAGGGAAGGCATTTTGAATGATGAACCTTTGATGCCACAGACCCAGACAGTGGGGCCACTTCCCAGGTCTGCAGTAGCCCTTCCCCATACCCCAAAGGCCCCTCACTCACTGGTTTGATGGTTTCGGCTGCCATATCTGGGAAGTCAGTCCCATTGAAGTGTGTCTCTCTTTCCTGCATCACTTAGTGACATAACCACACACATCTGGGTTCAGATTTCTGTTTGGCTTTGCCATCGGGTGCTCTGCCTCACGGCCACCTGCTGGACAGTGGAAGAGGACCATGCCTGGACGGTCTTGACAGGTGTGGTCTTGCATGCATCCGTCTTGTGGCGTCTAACCCCCTGGCGGTCTCCTCGCTGTCACTGACCCTCTCCTTTGCCCACACCGTGTCCTTGCTTGTAGACTGGTCTTCCACCGTGATTAGTCCACAGTAAGTGAGCCTGGCTCTTGCCCTGCTCTCTTGTAAGACCGCCTGGCCGCCAGTCCTCCAGACCTGACCTGCTTGCTGCTTGTAGCAAAGAGTGATGGAGACACCACACACCTGACCGCTTCTCTCCCTGAAGCCTCAGCGGGGCAGTGGAGGACCCTGGAGCCGTGGCTGGGGCAGCCCTGAGAGCCCGGGACTCACTTTAGTTCTCCTGTAGCCAGTGTCCAAGAAGCATCTGAGAGTGGGGTCTCCTGCTCTCAGGACACATGAGAGGACTTTAACAGGATTATCGATGAAATTGTGAAGCTGTTGATAGTAATAGATCAGAAAGATCAATGCAGAATACAGCTTTGTGAAAGGGAACTAAAAACAACAATAAAGAAAGAAAGTAAACCTACCTCGGATGGCTTGTGACTCCCTGCTGCCCTGAGTGGGTGGAGAGGATCTGCCCCTGGTGCCCACGGCTGTACTTCCACAAGCCACAGAGCCACCTTCCTCCTGCAGTACCTGGTGGGCACAGACCACTGGGCTTTCTGTTGGTGTCCGAGTGCTCTGGTCATCATCGCGCCACTAGGTATTATTGGGATGAAGGAAGAGACTCCATAGCTTCCTCTGTTTAATTTTGGGGTGGAGCATACGATTTGGTACACCGTGGACAGAGAAATGCACACCTGCCTTCCCTCAGAGTCCTTGATGGAGTGTTTCTCAGAGTAAATCGGTTCCCAGGGACGCTGTCTGTCTCCCAGTGCCCGAGAGGTTTACTCTCTGGTCCTCCCAGGAACCTGTTCAAGCCCCCTGTGTCACCTGCTAGTGCAAACGTGTAACACTCCTCCCTGCTTGCTGTCTTGAGTCAGAGCTGATTTGATGGGTCTGCAAACAACAGTCTGGACTCTGTTACCTGAGGGGATGGTGAGCTCAGTATGATGTGGGGAATTCATGTCAGTCTGTGAGTGTTGTGAGGGTTTTTCCAATCACTTTCTCTGCCTCTGAGAGCTGGACACTGAATAAAGATGACAGAAGAAGAATCAATGCCTTTGAGCTGTGGTGGTGGAGAAGAGCCCTGGACATCTCATGGACAGCCAGGAGAACAAACAAATATGTCTTGGAAAAAGTGCAGCGAGAATATTCCTTGGAAGCAAGGATGGTGGGGCTTGGAAGCAAGGATGGTGGGGCTTGGAAGCAAGGATGGTAGGGCTTGGAAGCAAGGATGGTGGGGCTTGGAAGCAAGGATGGTGGGGCTTGGAAGCAAGGATGGTGGGGCTTGGTCTCACATACTCTGGGCATGTTGCTAAGAGAGGCTGTTTGTTGGAGAGGGACATCAACTGGGAGAGGTGGAGGGTTGGCGTAAGAGAGGACGCCCCTCGGCCAGCGGGACTGACAGTGACTGCACGTCGTGTCCACGGGGCTCAGGGATGATGAGGACGGTGCCGGACAGGACAGGGTCCAGGTCTGTCGATCCTGGAGTTGTTACACTCGGCTCCACTGCACCGGACAACAACCACAACTACCAGACACGTTTCCTTCAGAAAGCTGCCTTCTCCCTCAGGCCGTCTTAATAATTAAAGGATGGTCATCCTGAATCTACTCTCTTTGATATATTTCTCTTTTTTGTTCGATACAGGAAATTATTTTGAATATTTGCCCTGTGATGGGTCTGCTGTCTTCTTACATATAATTTTATTTTTAACTGTGATACTTGATTAGAGTTATAAGACATGAAATAAAAATCAGCCTTATTTTCTGCCTCTTCAAGTACAGGAACACACAGAATCTGTGCTGGACGTTTTGAAACTCCAATTCTTAAGCAAATCAGACCATCTTAGCCTTTGAAACCTCTCCTTTCCGCCCTTCAAAAAGCATTCACAATTTGAGTGTATCTCTTATTCCCTTTCCTATATTCATAACAATCGTAGAGTTCTTCCTTTTATATGATTTTATTGTCATTTTAATGCTCTGTTTTTGATGGATGAAAGGCTAATCCCTGGGATTTCTTCCCCTTCTTGAACCTAAAGTTACATTTTAAAGCTGGTGTGTTTCGTTTTTTTTAAAATATCTGTGTTCCCATCTTCAAAAGAGTTTAACAGTTCTTGAGTAAAGACAGCTTTTAATAAGGACTTTTTGCAGTCTTTGGATTGAAAATACTAACTTCATTCCTCACAGGCCATGTCCATCTTCTGTCCTCGGGTGGTACCATGAGTTGACCTTGCTTCTCAGTGACCCCCGTGTACAGCAGAGAGAAGCTGCTGGTCCCACACCCTCCTGTCCTCCACACTCTGCTGTGCTAAGATCCACTGTCACGCTGCTCCAGCGACCCCTCTGACGAGGGTCTTCATCATTTCAGCGGATCCTGTATTTCACCACACCTGACGTCCTATCCAGGGACTGATTCCTCCTGGTAACACACCCAAATACATTAGACCATATCTTACCATCCTTGCTTCTAAGGAGCCTTCTGGCTGTGTTTCTTCAAAGACAAACTTACTTGGTTTTTGGCAATCTATGATATATCTGGGCTCTAGTGGCCGAGTATTAAGAAGCTGTGCTATAGTGCCGAAGGCATGTAGTTCGAATCCACCAGCTGTTCTGCGGGTGAGAAATGGGCAGTCTCCTCCCTTGTGATGAACTGCCTCAGAACCCTCTGGAGGGTCAGGTCTGGGTCGGTTCCCACTCAACCGTAAACAACAATAATATATTTGATATTCTTGCCAAAACGGTAAGGCATCAGCTATCGTGTGGCATTCCGTCATCGCCAGGGGGCTGTTGTCTGAACCTAGCAAGGGAACACTGCGTGGTTTAAAAGAGAGACAAAATGCTTGCATTAGTGCTGCATTCTTTCCCCTTCCTGCTTAATCTGTGTCCTGAACAAATAATTTGAGAAGCTGGACTGAAAGAAGAATGTGGCATCAGGATGGGAGGAAGACTTACCAGCAGCCTGCCTCATGCAGACCTTGCTTGCAGAGAGTGAACAAGGCTTTATGCTCTTATGGGAGCAAACTACAGCCTTTAATGTGGATTACCTTGAGACATCAGGAAAAATCCCCATCACGGGGCCCATAGGCAAGATCACAATACAAGAAGAACAGATTGAGGTTGTCAGTGATTTCCTCTTACTTGGATTCACAATCAACACTTTTAGTACAAGCATCAGGAAATAAAAAGATGAGCCCTGTTGGGAAGAACTAAAGTCAAGGACCTCTGACTAGATGAAGAGAAGAATTGATGCCTTTGAGTTGTGGTGCTGGAGAAGAGTCTTGAACGTACCATGGACCACCAAGAAAACAGATAGGTCTCTCTTGGAGAGGGTGAAACCACGTTTCTCCTTGGAGGCTAGAATTTTGAAGCTCTGTGTCACATGGCCAGGAGGGACC